TTTAATTCATTTCTGTGGCTGTGTCATTTCCTAAAGTAGTGTTTATGTTACTCTAAAAGGAGTGTGTAGATTTCATGTATGTCGATACCTACTTACACTCTGTTGTGCTGGAGACCTGAAATAGGTTTATTGACAGGTTTGAAGTTGTTCACACAGATAGCAGACTACTGATGTCAGTGGAGAATTGTCAGACTGCTTTCAGCTGTGACTCAAATAACCAATCGCTATAACCAAAACATGCTGAAGAGCATCTCTGAACACATGAGAGAAAAGACCGTAACAGGTGCCGTCACAGACACATGGGGTATGTAAGCAACAAGAAAAAAGCAAGATTGGAGGCTAATGGTTTTGCTCAGTTCGGTTTTTGCTCTTCCAAAGGTCAGCTTTTAACGGATTGCTTTTGCTACTTACACAGCTTAAAGCCTAAAATTTAAAAAGAGGTTATAGTACACAAAGAGCTTGTGCTCATCAGAAAACGAGTAGGTGAAGCAATCACAGCGCACGCGTACCTCAGAACTCAACTCCGGGTACTTCCTGCCTTTACTCTTTCCCAGACATTTGGCTCGACCGCCCTCCACTCGCTGACACCAGAAACCTTTGCTGTCATCATACCTGCAAAGACAACGCATGTTTTTTGACGCCACAGCAAACACACCCCACATAGGCAATACATTTTTACATGCTTCTGTGTAAGGCAAGGCAGAAAAGAATGTGACTTTTATACATGTGTAGGAGTGTTACGAACATTAAAGCCTGGGTGTAGTTGAAGATGGGGGTGACACCAAGGAATCTCTGTATTCCCTCCATCACCAGTACTGGGTTGGACCGCAGCAGCGCCCCATCAACAATGTGTAGCTAATTATAGAGAAAGAGTGTCAGCAACGCCTGAGAGAACTACAACCATCTTCCAATGTATTCGCAGCAGCCACTGAATGCGCATGTTAGCAGCTGCAGTGTGTGTTACCTGGCTGGCTTGGTAATGTTGCAGCCAGCGGTCCAGGTGAATAGCATATGCCCCAGGATTAAGGCAGTGTCTCTGAAGGGCCAGCAGATCCCTGGGGGCTGAGGCGCCCGCTGTAACTACTTCATGGAAAGTGTGGTTAAGGGCTACAGGGTCCTGATGAGCCCTCTGGTGCTGTAGTTAACGAAACACACACAAACACTAAAGAGGGTTTGAAATGCTATAAAAACGCCTTTGCAGCCTCACTGTGAGCATTCTCACCTGGTACCAGGAGTAGGCTCTGTCAGCCGGGTTAATGAGCACTGCCAGGATCTTGGCCCTGGGGAGCAGGGCCGCAGCTCTTTTAGGGGCTACTTCTGTGTCAAAGTAGTTGGCACTCTTTTCAAACATGAAGTCTGTGCTGACATTGGAAGGGAATGGGAAGAAGTCCATGTACCTGAGGAGGACACACACGCACACCATTACACAACTGTACTGAGGTGAAATGTGTTTTTTTTTAAAGAAATATTTTTAAACTGAGCAGCTTTTACAGTTGTGTGTTGCTTCTTAATATAAAAGTGTCCAATTTATAAGACAACACAACGTCTGTGTGGAATCGGTTTTCCTGCTCTCGTTTGCCGTTTTAGCTGTTTGGTGGTTGTTGAAATAGTTTTGTCTTTAACCCGAGATTCTGGCGTTTCTGGCTAAATACATTTATATTTAAAAATCGATTTGAATCGGTAAACCGATTATTGAAACCAACTCCTAGTGTGTGGGGCTGTACCCTGTAGGTTTATATTGTTAGACAGTAACATTACTTATTAAGAAAAGTGTTCTGTGTAATGTGTGTAGTAATTACTTTGAGTAACGACGCAACAATGATTGCAACAAAGAGTGGAAATAGCTCCAACATGAGCAAACATTTGACCACTCAGCATGTAATTAATTTGCATGAATGCAGTGTCTTGGACATGCTGCTTAGAGACGGGAATTGCTTTGAGTCAGCACCATCACTAGTGTCATTCTGAATTTGATGGCAACAACGTGTCTTCAGCAGCTGGACAGTGTATCAACGCCTCTTCTTTTAACTTCTGTGACTGAAGGAGAGCAGTTACTGGGCTTTAGAGAGAGGAATGTTGTTGTGTTCTTTTGGTTTAATCTGGCTCCAAATGTTTTTCTTAAATGTAAGCAGCTGTCTCAGTCATCCTCTTCCTCCAGCTCTGAACTAAGCTGGGTTGCTCTCGCCCAGTGTTCTGTACTGTGATTTATTAACCATCTAAATACACAAAGGACTTTGCAAATGACTCTTCTGAGTTATTGGCTGAAATCATGCCTAAATATAATAAAGCTCTAATGATTAGAGATTTTAATGTACATGTGCGCTGGCTTGACAGCATTAACTGACTCGCTAACTTCACGCAGTGGTTGTCCGGACCCACAGAAGAACATGAACACAGACATCTCACGATGTGTCTGTTTCAAACAGTGTTTTCAGATCACACGCCTGTTTTTTGCATTCACTGCTGTGCTTTTCTCTGCTTACTTTGATCAGAACTTTGGGGCTCAGCTTCTAGTTTTATTCCACCTGCCAAACGATATCAGAGTCAGTGTCTCCATTCAAAACCAGACAGTCTAAAACGAATCCCACCTGGATTCTTTAATTCTTTCTGTTTTAGGCATATTTGTTCTTGTTGTTTTTAACACTAGCCTTTTCCTCAAGGGTGGTTCCTAAAAGCTTTAAAACAACCACAGATGGAAAAAACCTGGCCTGGATCCCAGTGTGTTACCCAACTTCGGGTCCATTTCCAATCTTTCTTTTCTTTTAAAAATTCTCTAGATAAATGTTTATAGCAAATTGAAGGCCCTTTAAATAAAAAATAAAATAAAATAAATTTAATTAAATAAAAAAAACCCAAACATCCTTGGCTTGTTTTAGTCTGGTTTGAAGTCTCTTCATGGAGCAGAATCAGTACTGCTGACGGGCCACTGCTCACTGTTGGTCCACAACAGTGATGGCTAAGACGGGTCTCTTACCGGGACCATGTCACCTATGAAGAAGACCACTGCCAGACCGCCACATGTCCCCTCCATGACATTCTACCCCAACTCCCGTGCCGACTGCACAAGATCACCACCACATGGAACCCACCCCACAGAAGACGCAAACCAGGCTGCCCCCGTACAACATGGCGGAAGACTTTCATTGATGATTTACGCGCCTGGGATGAGGCCGAAGCAACCGCAGCTGATCGATTACGCTGGCAGAGATCTGCCACCCAATACGCTGAACGGTGCAGGAGGACCGAACTCTAAGTATTGTGTTTGGTCCTGGTGGGCACAGTATCTAAGGTCTCCAGTCACAAACCTGGGTTTTATGATGGACAGTTAGATTGGACAGTCAAATAACTGCAGTGGTGAAATCCAGCTTCTTTCAGCTGAAACAAGTGGCAAAAATAGAAAAACTGTTGAAAGATCACTTTGAAACAGTAATCCATGCCTTTATCACAACTCTGGATTGGATTACTGCAACTTATGTAGGTGTTAGCCAGTCCTTCCTGCCTCGTCTTCAGCTGGTGCAAAAGTATGACTTAACTGGAAAACAGCAAATTACTTCTGTTTTATACTCACTCCACTGGCTGCCCGCCCATTTTAGGGTTCATTTTTAAATTCTTTTATTTCTTTCCTCTGAGATGTGCCTTGCCCATCTCAGAACTGTTGCACTTGCACTGTCCTTCCCGATTGCTCTTGGATGTGCCGAGGGCACAAGGCTTTTGCCGTAGCAGCTCCCAAATTGGCATTAGACAGGCCTCTGCACTGTCCAATTTTAAGATCCACCGCTTCTGTTTGTTGTTCGATCTAGTTTGCACATCATCAGGATGGGAGCGAATGTTCCCCCAATAATAAACCAAAGGGTCCCTCTCCTCATAAGTCTGGGGAATATATCCAGGTTTTCCAAAAAGACTTTCAATTTTGGATTGATCTGACTTCAGAACGGTTTTCCATTTTGCTTCAGTCCATTTCCCCATCCATCCATCTTCTGCTTATGTGGGGCAACAAACTAACAAAGCTGCTGTCTGTTAAAGACCAAACAGGGAATGTCATACTAAAATGAAAATGGACAGCAGATTATTTCAAAAAAAGTAATGTGGGACATTTACGCATTTACATTTATGCACACAAGTCATGGCAGCGCTGCACAGATCCAGACTTTCCTTTAAGGCTCTGTACACAGTGAACAGGGTGTGTATGTGTTTTTACCAGTCAATCCCATTGTGATAGTTTGCGCCACTGAAGAACTGGATCTCCTCAAAGGTGGTAGGGCTGGGGAAGGAGCTGGTGATTGCTGGGTGGATGCTCAGGAATGAATGAAGTGCTGTAGTACCTTTGAGCAAACAAGACAATTAAAATAATCAAAACAGAGAATTAAATAAGACAGATGAGAGGAATCTATACCTGTTTTTTGTGGTCCAATGATGAGAAACTTTGGCAATCTGTCACAGGTCTTCTCTTTAGACCAGATATCTTTGTGTCTCTTATCATGGCAAGGGTTCTGAAAAAAGAAAAAATCCACACAGTGTGTCATCTTCCATGACGGGTGAAAGTTACATTTACATTTTACATTACAGATATTATACACGTTACATTTTTAAATAAATAAAAGGGACATGAATGGTTTTGTTTATCATTTCGTCACATACTCCCACATCACCCAAATCTTGAAGTAGGCATTTCAATTTCCAAATTGTACAAAAGATGGGGGGAAAGGGTAGGTAAGGTAGATTTTAGATGTAATACTTAAACTTTTAAAATTAGAAATCATGAATGAATTAAAATTTTACATATTACACACCGTAGTCAGGGAAAAAAATCCACTGATCAGGTTATTAGCAAAGGTGCAATTAATGTGTATTTACAAAAAACCCACAAACCCCTAAACTAGATGCTTTAACGATAATTATACATTCACGGTTTTTCCTTACATCAAACTCCTTGTGCATAGAATTACTGCACTTATCATGAATCTGGCACTTATGCCTTTTTTACCTATTAACTTAAAAGAAAATGCATGAAGACTTTTTCATTTCTAAAATAAAACAATACAATAAAATGTATGTAAAACAATAAAATAATATAATAACAATAAAAAAAACACTCTTTGTTGTGAAGCTGTCTTTTAACTGTTGCTTTATTTAATGATTTATAGTGATTAGGTGACTGTGTATACAGTGAAGTGAAAACAGAAACTGGATTTCTCAAGTTTTAAAAATAACCACATGAATCAACCCACCTGCCAGAGCGGGTCTCTCTCATCAGGAAAGATTTGGAAATACCTCTCGGCAAGCTGGACTGGTGGTAACGTTTGCAGCCTGAGGTTGGTCCAGCACTGGACAAACTTCACCAAAGACTCAAATGTATACAGACCCAGACGATCGTTGCCATAGTTAGACAGATGGGTCATGAAGATACTGATCTGGATTGAGAAAGTTAAAAATATGTTATAACACTGCCATCCTAAGGTTTTATTTTAATTTCATTTTTAATTGTGTGTGTGTGTGTGTGTGTTTTCACTTTTTATTACATGTTAGCATTTTATGTTACTTAAATTCTTTTTACACCATGTGAGAAAGTATTCAATAATTTCATTATATTTGAATAATGACAATAAAGAAAGAAAGCTGACAAACTTTGCCAACTTAAATTTTTACTTTTTCCCTCGAATTTCAAATTTTGATTAAAATGTTTGACATTGGGAATTTACTATCACACACTGCATGTTATATCCACTAAATTTCTCCATTATCCCCTTATTCTCGTGTCTTAAACATCTTGTTTATTTTGTTAATATCATTAATCTTTCTCATCCTATTTTGTCTTAGTAGAAATGAAGAAAAAACCTTAAGTAAATGATAAGCAATGGTTAAGTCTGCAACTTCTTAGTTAGAAGAGCTTGGTGCTTGGTTTTTGGGAGCCATTTTTGTTGGGGGGGGGGGGGGTCCACTGCCAAGAACCTTACACATCTACTCAATCTTCTTTTTCCTGTTCTGGACTAACACGCATCTGTTGTTTAATTGTTTGTTCTATCATTTAAGGTGAGTGTGCACAATGTCTGTGCTCTAGGAATCAGATTAGTCAGCATTTAAACTTTCTAAGCTGGAATGTTAAAGGTTTAAATCATCCAGTCAAGACAGCGAAAGCTTTCTTCCATGTTATTAAGCACCATAACAGTGATGTGGCTTTCCTGCAGGAGACCCACATCAGGGGGTTTTACAATGCCGTCTCTTTCCACGGTGGAGGGGCCAGTGCTTTTCCAGGTTAAAGGACAAGTGATTTCTATACTGATCAGCCAGAGCATTCCCTTTGAGGCAGTCCAATGTTGTAGCAGACAAACAATAAACATTAAATCTGCTTTCAGGGTATAAACTGAACCTCAATAAAAGTAAGCTTTTCCTCTTAAGTAGTAAAGCAAGTTTGTTAGACTTCACTAACTTGCCCTTAAGGGTTAAAAAAAACAAAACAAAACAAAAAAACCCCTTAAAAAACAACAACAAACAAACACACACAGGCACCAAAAAACAAACAAACAAGAATTTGATTACACTGCTAAACCAATTGAAGCTGTCCTTCACCCACTGGACACCATTTTCTAAGGACGTTATTAAAAATGACTATTTTACCCCAATTTTTGAATTTATTTATTTATTTTTATACCTCTTCCAGGCTCTACCCATTTTTATTTCTAAGATTTTTTTTTTCAATGTGTTGCATTCTGTTTTGTCACCTCACACATGGGAAGGTAAACACCCAAGACCAATCTTCAAAAGCCTGAAACTGAAGGGGGGGCTTCAACACTTCAACAATTTTTGTTTTTATTATTGGGCCGCTAACATAAGCTGTCTGTGTTTTTGTACTTGTACCTCACTCAGAGTGGCTATTCTGACTGGGTGACTATGGAACTACACAGCAACAACAGTACATCTTTTCTGGCTGTACTTGGTTCTCCACTTTCAACTCTGTGGTGAAACACTCATTGGAAATATGGTGCAAGTTTAGGAAATACTTTAACCTCGACCTTTAAGTTGAGCTCACTGAGACGCAAACTCGCCCGAGATTTTTAGCATATGCACTTACGGTATCAATTTGAACCTGCTACATCACCTTGGTCTTTAGTTATTGCAATGACAAGAGTTTCAGAAAACTTGACCTCTGATCTTCACCTTGAGGTCAAGGTCACTAAGAGGGGGTGGAAGTGACACCCACTCTTAGTGGGCGGGGTAGAAAGAGTGGGGTAAAAATGACAACACTTTTAATTTTACAGGGTGAGTCCATCTGAAATCAACCAAGCCTTTTGCGTGTCCAAGTTGCATAAAATCTAGATGGTAGAAAATGTGAACATTTACAATGATTGCTGTCAAAAACATTTTCATGTTAAAAAACAGACCATTTTTCAAAAAATATACATCTTGAAAACTATTTGAAAAATGAATCTGAAATTTCACAGCACTCATTATAGATGTCCAAACTTTGGACTCTAAAATTTGTATGCAAATTGGAGGTCGAGCAGGACATTTTCTAAAACTTGACTGAAGATGGAATGACCTTTGTGTAAAGCCAGGCCAAATCTTCAGACACTCAAGTCTCATGTAAAGTTGACACGTGTGAAACATGAGTGCTAGACAGTCTCAAGCCAACAGCTGTAGTGTGCATGGAGGTTTTCTTACAGGGTTTAGGAGGACGGTGAGGAAGAGCTCTCCCCCTCTGATGCTCTTGTCCAGCTCTTTTGAACCTCCTGGGTATTCATTATAGAAGATTGTATGGGTGAATAGACCACAAGTTTGTCTGGGCAATACCTGAAATGAACAAATAGGGCATTAAATATTGGGGATATATATACATAATTTCCTTAGGGATTAATAAAGTATTCTGATTGGTCAATCGTCTAGGTAAGGAAACCCCAAAAAGTTGATTCTGTTCCTCTGTGTTCTCAGCATCATGTGTTTTTAGTGGGAAACTTTTTCACTTATCCAAGTGTAGCCACAGCTGCTCCTTTCACATAAATGGCCAACTGCAAGCAATGGAGGTCATTTATAAGAGATGTCTCCACCCTCAATAACAGGACCAACCTCAACACTGACCAAGTATGTCTTGCTCTTGTCATTTTATCTTATCTATATTTCAAATATAGGAGTTAGAGCAGGGAGATATGGCCAAAAATATTTATCACGATATATATTTGAAAATTTGCGATAACGATATAACTGACGATATAATTGATGCGAGACAAAATACAACTCCACAACTTGACTAGCGCAAAAAAACACCATCCATTTATTTTCACTTACACAAGAAGCTGTTTTTTATGTGCATTAAACCTATATAAACATTTTACAGTGCAAATGCAAATTCCTTGCTGAAAGTTTAACCAAAAGGCATTTCCAGTAGAAATGGGCTGACATATCCTGAGCATAACCATGTATAATATCCACTGCATTAGGGGTGGGCGATATACGATAGAAACGATATAAATTTGGCCAACGATAGAGATTTTGACTATACTGCTCTACCGCATGTTGATGATGTCATCAAGCTGCGCCTGTTTTGGTCGAAAGCATCGCAGTGGCTACAACCATTATCATCTGCAAATTATGCCGAGCAACAGTCATAGCAAATAGATGAAGCACTTTTGAAATATGGGAAAAGCCAAAAACTGCGCTTCCTCCACTTCCGTAACATTGATTCATTAATGCTGAATTCTTTCGCAGCTGCTCTGTTCCCATGTTGTTGCAGTATATTAATGACTAACCTGGTATTGTGAATGAATGATCTCAGTTGTTCTCCTGACTGAAGTTTGGCCCGTGTATAGCATCCTGCCATGCGATTGCATGCTGTTTATTTTTCTGTCCTCATTTATGTTGGAAGTGATAGCAGAGCTGTACGTTTGAATTTTTTCAGAAATCTCTCAGTCAGAACATGCTATATCATGCTTAGGTAACTAGCAAAACTTGCAAGCTAACTTCTAACTCCGTTACATGTAATACATTCTGCTTTCATGGATGCCTGGAAGTTAAACTTCATAGTTACACCTGGTAAAGCAGCAATGTTGATCGTTTTATTAAAGATGAAAGAATTTAGACAGTTTTTAACTCTCAGTGATGCCACAGTGTTCGTTTGACTTTGGGAGCTGAAGTGGAGGGAGTTTAGGACCCAGATTACTTCCAGATTTGCGAGCACCTTAGTCCGACAAACACGACAATGACGACGGCCCGCTTGCATGTTCTACAAAAAAAACCCTGCTTTGTCGTGTATCTGACGGACACCAAACCAGTTCAACATCACTGAAGTTGCACCACTTTTAAAAACCAATTCTGGTTCATCCGTTTCACTCAACAATCCGCTTTCAATAATTTCCCCCAGGGATCAATAAAGTATTCTGATTCTCCCTTCTCATTCTCCGTTGCCGCCATGCTTTTTCGCCATGTGCGTATGAAAACAAAGGCACTGCGCATGGGCGTTTTAACCATATTCTATCGCGATATTTCATTTTCTTATCGTTGCCTAACATTGTACCGTTATTACCATGAACGGTATAATATGGCCCAGCCCTAATAGGAATGTCGGTTTTGGAGGAGTCAAGGAGGCCATTTATGTGAAAAGAGAAAAACCATCTGTGAACCAAAGAGGGGGCCTAAGGGTACATCTTTCTCCATCTAACAATGGTTTGATTGGAGCCTTTCCCCAGCTCTCTGTGAATGGTACTGATGGATAATATGAAACTGTCATGAAAAGAAGCATTTTCATAATTATGAAACAATCATGAATTATGAAACTAAGTGAAAAGCCCATTGTAAGGCAATGATGGTAGTCTTGTGACAGTACTTACCTGCAGTAAGCAGAGGCTGAAAGTGTCACTTGGTCACAAATGAAACTTTCTAGCTATTGACTTTGAAAATCTGTTTCAGTGTAATCAGCGGCAAATTGTTATTAGTTACCATTAAGCCAGCAAAAAACCTCTTGCCAACACTCAGAGCCTTAAGAAATACTACAGACTTCACTGATACAACATTCAAAATATAACATCTTAACAGATAGCTTGTCCTTTTTTAACACAAAAACCTTCAAAAGTTCACATCACATCATCTTGGCTGAAAGATGTGTTTGTGTGAAGAAAATTACATGTGTTATTAAAGAACAAAGACTGTGGACTGACCTGGATGCCATTGTGAATGAAGCCACGTCGATATCGAGCTGGCCTTAGATGAGGGTATTCTTCTGTACTGGTCACCTTGATTCCCCACACAGATTTCCAGGCTTCATATAGCTGGCTGTGAACTGGATAAACCCCAGAGTGGTGTGGAGCTACTGCATAGCCCATATCTATTGGGATGCCATGCTCCTGGAGAGAGAATGGTACAATAAGAATAGGGGGTAGCTGTAGCTCAGGAGGTAGAGCTACTGATCGGATGGTTGGTGGTTCAATCCCTGGCTCACCCAGTCTTCATGCTAAATATCCTTGGGCAAGATACTAACCCCAAGCTGCTCTCTGATGAATCCATCGAAGTATGAATGTTAGTCAGAAAGCACTCAAAGTATAAAGGAAAGTGCTTGTGTTAATGAGTGAATGTGGCATGTTGTATAAAGAGCTTTGAGCACTCCGGGCGAGTAGAAATGCAAAGCGCTATATAAGAAACAGAATCCATTTACCAGTAAGAAGACAGCATATGGAGTTAGCAGGTGACAGACAGGTAGAAACAGTTGTAGTCAAGAGAAAAAAAAAAAGGAGAAAAAAAGATAAAGGACTGATTCATATATAGAGCTTTTTTACTCTCCTGGAGCATTCAAAGCACTTTATACAACATGCCACATTCACTCATTCACACAAGCACTTTCCTCTATACTTTAAGCGCTTTAGTATCTTGCCCAGGGATATTTGGGATGAAGCTTGAGGCAGCCAGGGATCAAACCACCAACCTTCTGGTCAGTAGCTGACCTGTTCTAGCTCCTGAGCTACAGCCCCACACAGAGGCAAGCAGATACAGTGAACTTAGTCATACCAAGTCACGATTTTTACAATGTTTTAGATACGAAAAGAAAAAACAAGAAGAAAAAAAAGGGAAAACCAGCTGTGACTTGTACTGTTAAGTACTTTGAGTGGTCAGTATGATGAGAAGACTGTTATATAAATGCTATAATACAGTCTACACGCCTTTAGATGCCAGAGTGGCACCAAAATCCAAAAACCAGCTTTCATGTACAGTGGTGTGAGAAAGTGTTTGCCCCCTTTCCGATTTGTGTTTGTCACACTTAAATGTTTCAGTTCAAACAAATTTAAATATAAGATAGGGCTGCTCGATTATGGCAAAAATGATAATCACGATTATTTTCACTGAAATTGAGATC